CGACTGTCCCGTGAGTGCTTCAGCACCATGTATATATATAGTAAAACTACATACACTTAACTGAATGAAAGAAACCTATAGAAAACGGACTGGATCTTATTGAAAATACTATTCTAAACAAGAATGTACTACATGTACTACATTACGTTACAATTTCACGAGAGAAATAGAACTCGAGAGGGGAAGAAAAGAAGAAGTGATGAAAATGAAAGAAGACTAATAGCATGAGAGGAAAGAAAAGAGCTAAAAAGAAGACAAGAAAAGGGTGTAAAAAGGAACAGGAAGAGCAAGAGAGAGAGAGAGAGAGATAGCCTTGAGCTTTTGATCGGCTAATGAGTAATAAATGAAACAGATTTTGAGCGGAGTAATTATCTTTCGCCGGAGAACTTGCATAAGGAGCTGAAACTTGATGTTTTTTAAATCAAACATTATGGGGAATAGCAAACAACGGCTGAGTATTTATTGCACTAATTGCCAGAGGAGCATTCATGTCTTCCACGAGGCCGCACTTTTGGATCAGAGAGCAATTTAATTGTCGGTGGAGCATTGTCTTTTGCGGGGTACTTTTAGGGAGGAGCAAAAATTATTGTCGTGTTAGCCTTCGTATTTTACGGGGCACTTTTTTAGCGGAGCAAATGTCGGCGGAGCAATTGTCGCGTTTTGCGGAGCAAATGTCACCGGAGCAATTGTCGCGTTTTGCGGAGCAATTGTCTGCGGAGCAATTGTCGGCGGAGCAACTGTCGTTCGAGGAGCATTTGTCACCGGAGCAATTGTCGCGTTTTGCGGAGCAAATGTCGGCGGAGCAATTGTCGGCGGAGCAAATGTCGGCGGAGCAATTGTCGGCGGAGCAAATGTCGGCGGAGCAAATGTCGGCGGAGCAACAGTCGGCGGAGCAACTGTCGCGGAGCAACTGTCGCGGAGCAATTGTCGCGTTTTGCGGAGTAAATGTCGGCGGAGCAATCGTCGGCGGAGCATGTGTCATGGAACCAAAATAATGCAGCAGGCATTACAGGCTAAAAAGATAGACTAACATGACTGGAGACCATTTCTGAGCAGGTTGGCTCTCTATCCCATTCGTAGAGTACTCTCGCTTCAAACACTGTGATGACAGGCTTGTCACACTAACTGACACAATTAACTCTCGACAGCTCACTAGTTTCACTCTTCACTGACATATTCTTCGCTCCTAACTGCCTAAGATACGAAAGCAGTCTGTCTTATATACCCTTCGAGAGATATGGAGAAAGACCAGTCATGTAGGTCACAAGTATCGCGCTGCGGAGTATTTAGGAGAAGGGCGTCATTGAGCACATAAATAGAGAGCTCAAAGTCATATTGAGAGAGAGGATACAAGGACAGGAGAAAGTCAAGACAAGAAGCAAGCTGAAAGGGCTGAAGGACAGTGCAAGGTTGAAATGAGAGTTTCGGGCAAACAAGAGCGAAGGGGAAAGAGCGAGAGCTCTGAAAGTCAGGCAAAGTCAAAGTGAGAAGGGACAGAGTGAAAGTTCTGAAAGTGAATGCAAGGTCAAAAGTGAGGAGAGAATAGAACTCCGCTGTATGCAAAGCAATTGGGATCGAGCTGGCTGGATTTGTAATAGCGTAATTATAGCAAGACATCCTTAACATAGACTAGTACAATAATCATGGATAGTTGTAAAGTAGACTAAAGCATTGAATAAAATATATACATAATATTACATCAAATATCTTAATCAAACTGCGTGACAATACGAATTATTTCGCCAAGTCAGCATCATAGCTATATATTTTAATGCAGGCGCGTAGCTAGGATCTTATTTTAGGGAGGGGCGGTAGTGATCAAGCGAATCACTTAAAGGGGGTGGGTGAAAGGCCTCCCGCGCAAAGCGCGGAAGCTTAGACGTTTCATTAAAATAATTATTAGGAAAAGAAGACGATTTGTTGTACCGTTCTCGGTTGGCTCTTAATCCTTGTCTGGATTCAGTTTCCCCATTCCGCGCAAAGCGCGGGAGCTTAGACGTTTCATCAAATTATTAGAGAAAGTAGACGATTTGTTGTACCGTTCTCGACTCTTAAAACTTGTCTGAATTCAGTTTCCCCATTCCGCGCTAAGCGCGGGAGCTTTGACGTTTCATTAAATTATTAAAGAAATAAGACGATTCGTTATAACGTACTCGAGTCTTAATCCTTGTCTAAACTCAGTTCCCCCCTCCAGCGCGAAACGCGGATGCTTTGACGTTTCATCAAATTATTAGAGAAAGTAGACGATTTGTTGTACCGTTCTGTTCTGGACTCTTAATCGTTGTCTGAATTCAGTTTTCCCCGCTCCCGCGCGAAGCGCGGAAGCCTTGACGTTTCCTTAAATTGTTAGAGAAAACAGCCGATTCGTTCTACCGATCGACTCTTAATAAGCCCTAATTGTCTGAATTCAGTTTCCTCTCCCCCGCGAAGCGCGAAAGCTTTTACGTTTCCTTAAATTATTAGAGAAAGCAGACGATTCGTTTTACCGTTCTCGACTTTTAATCCTTTTCTGAATTCAGTTTCCTCTCCTCCGCGAACCGCGAAAGCTTAGACGTTTCCTTAAATCATTAGAGAAAGAAGACGATTCGTTTTACCGTTCTCAACTGTTAATCCTTTACTGAATTCAGTTTCCCCTTCCCGCGCGGAGCGCGGAAGCTTTAACGTTTCATCAAATTGTTATAGAAAGAAGTCGATTCGTTTCCGTTTGTGACTCTTAACCCTAATTGTCTGCATTCAGTTCCCCCCCTTTCACGCTGAAGCTTTTACGTTTCCGTAAATCATTAGAGAAAGAAGACGATTCTTTATACCGTTCTCAACTTTTAATCCTTGTCTGAGTTCAGTTTCCCCTTTCCGCGCGAAGCGCGGAAGCTTTGACGTTTCATTTAATTTTTTTGGAAGAAGAAGATTCGTCATAGCGTTCTCGACTCTTAATCTTTGTCTGAATTCAGTTTTCTCTCCGACGTTTCATTTAATTGTTATAGAAAGAAGACGATTCGTTACCGTTCGTGACTCTTAACCCTAACTGTCTGAATTCAGTTTTCCCCCCTTTCGCGCGGAAGCTTTGACGTTTCCAAATTAAAATTATTAGAGATAGAAGATGATTCGGTGTACTGTTCTCCACTCTAAATCCTTATCTGGATTCATTTTCCCCCCTCCCGCGCGAAGCGCGGAAGCTTAGACGTTTCCTTAAATTATTAGAGATAGAAGGCGATTTGTTGTACCGTTCACGACTCGTAATTCTTGTCTAAATGAAGTTTCCCCCTCCCGCGCAAAGCGCGGAAGCTTTGGCGTTTCATCAAAATATTAGAGAAAGGGAGACGATTCGTTGTACCGTTGTTGACTCTTAATCCTTGTTTAAATTTATTTTTCCCGAAAATTTTAAACCTCTGATTTCTTTAGCTGATATTATAAGGAAGTGAAACTTCAAGAAATTACAAGTATTGTAGTTTTGGTCACCCTCGAAGTCTTCACAGCTGATAAAAAGTCCCATTTTGTAGGAAAAAAACAAACTTGTCGGCCGACCGACATTACATCTCACCGTCTTCAAACTTCTGCATTGATATAGTACACGAGGATCGAGCAAGAATACCGACACAGCTGACTCGACACAGCAACATATTTATGCGTGTCTTTCTTGCTCCCTCGACGAGACGACTCCACCCAACAACCCCCTTCTCTCTTTTACTTCCACTCCTCCTCTCTCAGGCTCTTACCTTCCCTCTCTCTCCTCTCTTTCACCCCCGTTTCTTTTGTTTTCCTTTTCTCTTTTCCCCCTTTTATTTCTTTTCTTTCTTTTCTTTCTTTTCTTTCTTTTCTTTCTTTTCTTTCTTTTCTTTCTTTTCTTTCTTTTCTTTCTTTTCTTTCCTTTCTTTTTCTTTCTTTCCTTTTTTTCTCCCTTTCTTTCCTTTCATTTCCTTTTCTTTTTTCTTTTCTTTCCCTTTCTTCTCTTTTTTCCGTCCCCTTTTCTCTTTTTTTCCCGACGGCAGCGCAATATTACCGACAATATCCTTACAGGTAGGGGTGTCGCACCCCACACCCCCCTTTGGAGACGCCCCTGACTGTATAGTCTCCAAGAGTCACTTTCTTACGAATCTTACATAATTATACATATTCAAGATCATGTAAATGTCGTAATCAGTTGGTGAATGAGAGATTCCATAAAAGAACCACAGACATAGGTAAAACTTATACATGTGTAGTTATTTTTCGATAATATTTTTGCTATTTGAGTATGCTAGTGTTGTGAGGTGATGGGGGTGAATATCAAATAATGTAGAACCTTCTCGTCGTAACAAATGTGAGATATTGGATATATTGGATAGGTCTTGGTGTGTCTGTTGTCAGGACCCTATACCCCGATTTCCCGACACATTTGAAAGGATATTTCGTCATAAAGTCCGAGAATCCCCATCGTTCTCATGAAACTATACTTTTACATGATATTAATTATAGTAGCGATGATAATGATAATGATAATAATAATGATAGTGATAATGATGATAATAATGATAATAATACTATACTAATAATAACTATAAAAATAATATTGGTAACAATAATAATTATATTTATAGCGCTTAATATTACGTTTCTAAGCGTTTTACATTGTAATTATCATTACCCCGTGGTCATTGGATTCAATTGCAAATCCTCAATAGTGCACACGCTCCGCTCCCTGAGGAATATTTTGTCCAAGCGCCATTTTACAAGCACACACTTGCATGTACGGGCCGATACAATCACATTGATGTTCGAATCCAATTTAACACTTGAGTGGATTAAAGGATCAGAGAAGCAATGTGAATATGCCGTGCCGAGATAGAACCGACGACCCTCGCATCTTCAGTCAAATGTTTAAATTACTCGAATACGCGATACTTTTAAAACCTATACTTTTACATGGGACGACCTAGAGATTAATTGGCGTAAACTTTTAATCGGGGCATTTAATGTTTTTTTTTAAATCATATCTTCTAATCCATGTTATTTCTTTTTCACAGGGCTATAAAATTCTTCTCCTTCTTACTGTGGTAGCGACTGTGTCTCCCTCAAACCCTTCTCCATGCATATCACAAACAATTGATACGACTTGTACTTGCCTGAGCCCTCCACCACCTCCACCACCACCTCCACCAATATTTCCATGCTATAAAGGTAAGCATGGAAGCAAGTCTAGTTTCACAGTGCTAGTGTAGTATAGTTAGTAGTGGCAACACATTAATCCTCATTTACAACTAGACTCTGAAAGAAAGAGAGCCAGAAAGAGACAAGTAAAGCAAATCCAATGCACCCCATTAGTCAAATAAATTCTGAGAATCTCAATCCACATATTTACAATTAATTCACATATTTTGCCGGGAAAGCCAGATATTAAAAAATAATCAATTTTTCCAAATGTTGAGTTATATAATAATTAATGTTGTGTGTTGTTGATGTTGCTGTAAGGGAAAGGATTCCAAAGCACAATAGGTCAATGGATTCCTCAACAAAGAAAAACAGGGACCTATTGCAAGGGGGGGGGGGGGGAGCAATGTAGACAAAACTATCGGGGAGCCTTGGGAGTGGTCATTCCTGAAAAGGGCCCTTTTTGGGGGGGGGGAGCCTGGTGACTTTACTCTGATAAAAGAGTCTAAAACCAGGGTAATAACAGTACTTTGTAGACGCATTTTGCATCCCCTGAGGCGGATACATGTACTTTATTTATCATCATCATCATATTAATCATCATCGACATCATTCTTATTGATGTTGATGCTATTATTGTTAATGTACTAAAACAAACTTAATCTCAATCAAAGTGACAAGTGTTTCTTCTACCGTAACACAAATTCACACCTCTATTTCTCGATCCTTTCTTTAAGAACGTATATCAATGTAATCGTTTCTTAGTGACCAACTTTGTCGAGTCTGGAGCAACCAAAGACTCCGTCTCAGCGAGTTGGTCTGCACCTGATGGAGTTTACGATGGCTACATAGTGACCTGTTCAAATAGATCAGACGTAGGACCATACACCCTCGATGCTAATGCCACCATGTTTACCTGTACCAATTTTAAAACTCCTGGAGCAACTACACCATCACAATCACAAAATTGTGTAGGAATAGTGAAAGCGAGACATGTCCAATTACAATTACATCCTGTGAATTATCCATTGTTCTGCTAGCTGACATTACTTAGTGTTTAAATATTTAGTTGTATGGATTTTACTCTGTGTTTTGCTGACATCTCGAAGATGTAGTAACAATTGCCGTTTTGCGCTTTCAACCTTTATATTAGATGCCTCAGTCACACCTTTGCGTATTTGGCTTGCGTATTGCTGCGTATATGTGGCAATCCGTTTTAACATTTATTCCTATTTCTTGATATCAAGAAATCGAAATTGAATTCTTTATATATAGAACTCAATTCTTGATATCATTGCTCAAATACGTTGAGCTGGCTTTATGTTGCCCTAATCCTACAACCTAATTCACCGCAAATACTATTTATGTCGACAATATTTTGCTCTTGCTATTATCTTTTCAGTATTTACTACTACTGATACTTTTTCTACTCCATTTAACATTTGGTGGACGTTCGTCTCTCTGCCCTTCTCCCTCGTGTTGAGTTTGCTCGTTGTTGCCCTAATCATCAATTGCAGAAACCCCACACACCTATGGGCGGCTATCAAGGCTAATATTAACACCAACAAAAACAAACAAAGATGCATACAAACAAAGAAGCATAAGAACAAACAAAGGTCAGAACAAAATAGACAAAGTACCCAGAAGAAAGGACCAATTAACCAACAATTTAACAAAGGTCAGAGCAAAATAGACATAGTACTGGCCAGAAGAAACAAGAACGCCTCCCTGATTAACGTTATTGAAGCAAAAAATTGCTTGAGAGAGAGAGAGAGAGAGAGAGATGAAGGAGGGAGGATATATCTGTCTACAAACAAACAAAAATACAAAATGTATAGGCAAACTCACTACCAACAGCAGAAATATTTGGACAGAGTCTAAGGATAGCCATTCGCAAGTAACCCCGTGTCCACACACAACATTTTCCGTGATTAGGCGTGATTAGTTATACCGTTTCGGGATAGTTATACCGTTTCGGGATAGTTATATGATGAAATTGTGTGTGTGGACGCTTACTAACGATAACGAAACGTCGTATAACGAAACGATGCCCAAACATGCGTTTCGTTATACGACGTATAAATAATCACGCCTAATCACGCCTAATCACGGAATGTGGATGTAACTAGTATAACTAGTCGAACTAGAACGGTATAACTGAGCGGGGCTTAACGTGACCTCGAGCGAAAGGAGACCTGACCTCTCATTTCCGCTTCCATTTCATGATCGCAGTAGCAAACTGCGCACCTATACGACATTTCGCTGTAGAGTTTCAGGATTACTTTCTTCTGTGTGTAAACATCCTGGAATTTATACGATGATTCTTTATACGACGTTTCTTGTGTGTGGACACCCTGAAAGTTATACAATGATTCTTTATACGACGTTTCGTTATAGAGTTTCGGGATAAATTGTTTTGTGTGTGGACACGCTGTAAGAGTCCACATACCTGTCTCAATGTTAAAACAGGGGGTCATGATAGCAAATATATTTAAAATGGTGATATTGGAAACAGCCGAATCTAAAATATGACCTTGATGACATGGACTTTTAAGGCGGTCTTGCTATTGATCTTCATATACTTGTCTAAGTTTTATTTTTATCATCAATACTATCATTAGTAATAAGTAGCAGTAGTAGTAGTAATAGTAGTACAGTAGTAATCAAAGTAGTAGTGAAAATAGTAGTAGTATTTTGATGTGAGATCGATATAATGTTAAATAAAGAATGCTCTAACGATACTAAAATCAACCATTATATTTATGATAATAAAAGTGATAATGCCGGTAACGATAATAACAAGTACAAACAAGATCTTTCTTTCACGAAAGAGTACATAGCTATTTTATATCGGACATAATTATCAATATTTCTTCTTCAGAAAAATCTCTTACCGAATATTAACTCTCCAAAGTAATAGCATTCTCTTTTTTAGTTTTAGAGGCAAACCGGTAACAATGTATGATTGTAGATATACTTATGCTTGTTTAAAATTGATTTTATAGTTGTGATCAATATTGAAGAAAATAAATTACTATATAGGTCAGCATAATTCTACTCACATCTCTCACATCTATTCATCTGTCTGTCTTGTTTAGTTGTTGTCTGTGTTTCAGTCCTGTTGGCCGTAGTATATTCCTGTTCCTCTTGTTTATAGCCATTATTTAGTAGTCAGTAGATTTTATTATACTTATTTATGTTTATATTTTATCAGTTGTTTAGTTAGTTTAGTTTGTCAGCACTTAAATGTATGCATTATTCTTATCTGACGAGTTTTGTTCTTTTAGGACATATTCATAAGCTACTCATGAGGGACCTTAAATCCACGAGCCTTGCTTTCAACCAAGGTCACCTCATCTTTCTTTTGTAACGCCATATTCTGTAAACTTGTTATATTCATGTCATATTTGTAAAGTGTGTTATGAAAGAAAGATAAATAAAACTTGAAACTGGAAACTTGAAACATTTTACAGGCAGAGGAACAACCTACACGTCACTTTTCGGTACTACAAATTCAGATTATAACACTGATACAACGCGTAATGAAATAAAAATCTAAATTGAAAAATGTCATCGATTTGTAGTTTAAGCATTGCAAATGCATTAAAGCAACGCTTTGGTGCATTGCATTGTAAACAATACCTTCGTATATTTGTAAACTATATTCAATAGAATTAAAAAAAAAAATTGATCATTGCATGATATCTTTCTGTAATAGGGTTCAGTATTAAAACATCATCACTCCCTTCTCCCGTTTTCCGTTTAAAAGCAACTTTTTATGTCTGCATTACTATTTTTTAATTTTATATTTTATACCTAGAAGTGAAATTCAATCAATAATAAGAGACCACCGAGCACACACATACGAAACGGCCATGAAAGGGCATTTCCATTGAAAAAATATAAGAAACAAGGGAGAAAAATCCAACCAATTTAACCAAATCTAACCTGTCTACGGCTTCTAAAGGTATACCTTTTGGTTGTTTTTCTCTAAAGACCCTTTGGATGAACAACGTCTTCTTGTTATAGCTGGATGCGTGGTGGCGATGTTGTTAATTGTACTGGTATTTGTTGGTGGTTTCATCTACTCTAAGAAGTGCGCTGGTAAGTTATTTCAACCGCGAACGAAGTCTTCGTGTATAGTTTGATTATGTGAATAAACGCGCTGTCACAGTTGTATTCTAATGAAAATGAAATCAAATGTGAATACAAAAACATGGTAGGTATACGGAACAACGGTAACAAATTCAATGCTATAATGATAACTATCCCTTTAGATCCAACCGGCCTACAAATGTGGCAACTCTGTGCGTCTTTCGACGTAACTAAACCTGTGATTTTTTAGAAGGATTAGGAAGACCTTTAGGGCTTACAGTCTTGTTTTAATATGAACCTTGAAAAAAGCAAGGCGATCGAAATCATTTTGTTCTAAATAACACAATGAACAGGTGACGTTATCACTAACCTTCACAAAATAACTAAGCAATCGCTATGGGGCTGACGCTTATCATTATTATAGATAATAATGATTTGATGATAAATGAAGGGTAATCCTCCCGATACCTTATGTACATGTATGACATTTTTTGAGCAGTAGAAGTTTTGCGAAAGAAAGAAAACAAAATATATAAGTTTTTTAGATGCTGGAGACCAATTGATTGTATGCCCTAAAATAGTTCATGGTTACGGACTAGAAATGGGCCCTAATATTATTGACACCTCAAAATGAATTTACCTTCTTTGATTCACTAGTAGACGGATCAGCAGCTCCAGATATACAGACCTCTGGAAATCTACCAGATGATGAAACACCTCACACCACCAAGCCAACATTAACAAGCGGTGATGAGGTGAATTAAACTTATCGATAACCTTTCATTTGAACATTTGAACAATTCATATAATTAACTAAGCAAAATACTATCGCAAATAAAGTTGAGCCCAATTTATAGGGACATTTGAATATTCTTTGAAAGTCTAAAAAGTTATGTTCGGATTATGCAATAAAGTCATTGTAATATCCATACATTATGAGATTAATTAGTCTAAAATTTCATTTGGTTCATTTCTTTGAAAGTATTTGATCGTATCCATTGTTTGTTATGTGTTAGTTTATTTATACGTGTCCGTTGGAATCGGTATGTTTAGACTAATCCGTGTGATCTTCCTCTTGTTAATTCATCACGTAAAAAACGGTCTATTACTTCACCATATTAAAGTAAAAAGTTCTCCTTTGGTTAACAGTATATGGAACTGAACTTTGACCAATCAGACTTCAGAAATGCGGTCTCCGATGTTCCCGAAGTGCACCATACACACATGGCCATGAAGTGCAAATCCCCAGCTAGTACTAGCCGACCCATCACCTCAGACTCAGTTGACGATCATGGTGATGCTGTACATAAAGTTAGACCCACTCTCGTCCGCAAGCAAGTGCAGGCCCATTCTAATCTGAAGGAGGAGCCTACTTATGTTAACACCGAAGGTGCGTCAACTTATTGAGAAATTAGTTCAGATATTTCAAGCATTGTTGAGGATCATGCGGATGGCCGTGATGATGTGTTGACAACATACCTCTAAAGAAAGGAAATTGACGTGTTCATTGGTGAAGTCAATGTTACTTACCAAATTGTTATTATTTTCAATATGTTTCTCTACTTATTTCTGTAACGAACACAATATAAGCATTGTATCTTAATATAGTAATGATGCAAATATAGATTCTGCAAACACCGTTTAGGATAACACTGATGGCCGTGTTGATGTGTTGACAACGTAACTGTTAAGAAAGGAATTTGAAGTGTTCATTGGTTGCTACCTCATTATTCACGATTTGAAAAAAAAATTGGTCGTATACATTTTGATATTACATTTACACTTGTCTTCTTTGCAAAAAAATGACTTTAATTATATCATTGATGCAAATGAAAAAATAAATATGGATAGAAAAACATTTGAACTTTTGTTTGTGTAAATTACACTGTTATGACTGTATCACACCCTATCTCTGTACGTAGTAAAAAGAAAACTCTACATTTCAAACATAGTCATCATGAAAATGATAGAAATGTGACGCATATATATATCATAATTGTTTGAACTCTTTGTTTGTGTTAATTTTATTATCATATTTCACATTATTTCTTTGCACTTAATGAGAGAAAAAAAATCAATCATAGTTATGATGAAAATAGTATGAACGTAAAGTGTACATGCATTTGAAATATATGTTTGATTTATGTAGTTTTTGTTGTAAGTCTACATTTTGATATCATGTTTCACATCCATCTCCGAATCTAATAATATGTAATATTGTAATTTACTCATAAAAATACTCATGAAAATGATTACATTTCTCTCAATTTGTTTGTGTGTGTATTATTAAAGATAAAAAGATGTTGAGGAACATTGCAATCACTAGAAAATATCTAAGGTAACAACAAATTCATTTCACTAGAATGCTTAATAAGTGGTTATTGAAAAGATATAATGTAATCTCAGAGCGGTATATGGTACTTAATTGCAATATCACGTTCACGTTATTAGAAGACTGTAGTCCGATGTATATAGCAAAAGATGGAAATAATTCATGTACATTTAATAACCAAGTACACTGTAGCTTGCAAACGCATAACATAAGTGTGTATTGCAAGGAAGATCGAAATGAGGAAGTCTATCAAACATTTGAATTGAGTTTTTTTTTTCATTCTAACATTTGAATGTACTTATGAGGTCCAGTGTTTGCTTATGGCAAGTAAATTGGTAAGATAAAACAAACGTTTGAAGCAACCATCGTATCGGAGACTGGTTTTCGAAACTTAATGATAAGTGCCCCTTTATTAGCAGAGTGGCAGTTTTAAGCATCGGGGTACTGAAAGTAGAATTGAGATTTTGCCATGTCGAGTCCACTTGTCTATAAGTATGTGATTATTTTTTCCGGTGATATAATGCATCCCCCCCCCCCCCACGAGAGTAGATCACGGGGTGCGGTATACATACCCCGTCCCCGATATACTTTGGTGTGTAGTAACATATTTAAAATAAGCTCATTATTACTTCTGCAAAGAAATTGTGCAATACACTTTTATAAGCACTGCTTGTTAGTAGCTATAGACTACTCAACGCTTGCGAGTCTGCTCGCATACTAACTTGGTGTCCGTATGCGCTCTTTTTACTTTATTCTTCATTTTCTTCATACTGGTTATTCGTTTGCCAATTGAAAGCCGGGGGCAGTTTCAGGGTTTGGTTTTATACACTATATCTGTACACAAAATAAGTTTGTGTACACATTGGTATAGGTGACTGTAATAATAGTGGAAAAGTTTGTTTTTAAAAATGCTCTCAAAATTGTATAAATAGTTCAAGAATGTCCTAAAGTGTGTATGTTTTTTTTAGTTTGATTTTACAACCATCTCCAATAGAATTGTAAGTGTGTACTCGCAGGAAACACCGAGGCCTGATTTAGATCACCACCCCCTCCCTTTCCGCAGCATATTAACACGCCACTGCTTATCCTTGAAGTTACGAATGGGTGCAGATGGGTGTTAATATATGTACAATAAAAGCGAAACCAACAATGACTGAAATTTTCACATCTTATCGAATTCTCCATGAGGATATATTTTCAATTCAATTCAATTTAATTCAATTTAATTAATTTCGCATATTTTGTCGATAATGACCATCAATAAAATAGAGCACGAAGAAGAAGATATCATTATCATTATCATTACTCACTCTAATCTCAAGTTTCAATGTATTTTTTTAAATGGTTTATTCATAACATTGAACGTATATCAATTATTTGTATTTTGATTCAAGTTATATAATTGTAACAGATATAACAAAAAATCCCATGTATTTTTATTATGATATTCTAATTCTCTGTGATTACAGTATCGATTATTATTAAGTGAGGAGAAAATTCCCTAATATTGATTGAAAATAAGAATATGGAGTAAAGTCGCACCTCAAAAAATATGAACCCAACGTACTATACACATGACTTTTTCCACAAAACTAATAAATTTGTAGAAATACGATGCTACTTTCGTGTCGAAGGTACTTTATATGAGTGTGTGTAAACAAATTTATATATGGATATATAATGCATGTATGTGTGTGTGTGTGGGTGTGTGTAAACACATTTATGGAAGAGAATGACATTTCAAAACGCCCATTTCAATGGAGCTAAGACCATTTAATATACAAGCTTATACGAATTATAACACAGAACTGACAGAAGCACGTGTGGCCTATATAGTAGGAGACCAGCCTGTAGGTCCCGTGACCAATCTCTGGGAACAAACGTTTGAAAGTGTTTTTGTGTTCCCTGATGAATACCGAACAATTTTGACTTGGGCTGCCCCCTTGAAAATCCCAGGCATTTTCGTGAGGGGTCAACAAAGGTCACACAGGGATAGAAATTTAAATAGTTCCAATCGTGTCAATATGCATATTAAATTACTTGTCTGGTCATGATGATTCCAAAAATGTATAGTTTGCTATACCTCCGACCTTAAATGAGGGCGCTATGGTAAAAAACATTGAAAGGTCAACACACTTTTGATTGGTGGTCGAATTCACCAACACAGTTAACCATATCAAATTGCCTATCAAATTACTCGTCTGGTCATAAGGATTCCAAAAATGTATAGGTTGTTATACCTCCGACCTTTAATGAGGGCGCTATGGTCAAAAAGGTCATTGCACTTTAGAAATTCACCAACACAGTTACATGTAACATTGTCCGATTCTAATGATGTTAGGGTCTAATAATATGTTTTCTGACATGGCAAATTCAACTATACAACTATCAAAAGTAAAGTGCTTACCTTGACCATGTACATTCAAAATGGCTGCCGTTTCAGTGACAAACATCTAACAACTTCTTATCCATGGGTTTGGGGGAAATTTCAAGGTTATGGCAACCACTTTTGATTTTAAAAGTTGCTTAGTTGAATTTGTTATGTCACAAACCATATTATTAGACACTAAAATCATTAGAATTGGACAATGTTAACTGTGTTGGAGAATTTCTAAAGTGCATTGAACTTTTTGACCCTAGCGCCCTCATTTAAGGTCTGAGGTATAACAACCTATACATTTTTGAAATCCTTATGACCAGACGAGTAATTTGATATGCAATTTAATAAGGTTCACTGTGTTGGTGAATTTGACCACCAGTCAAAAGTGTGTTGACCTTTCAATGTTTTTGACCATAGCGCCCTCATTTAAGGTCGGAGGTATAGCAAACTATACATTTTTGGAATCCTCATGACCAGACGAGTAATTTGATATGCATATTGACACGATTGGAACTATTTAAATTTCTATTCCAGGGTGACCTTTGTTGACCCCTCACGAAAATGCCTGGGATTTTCAAGGGGGCAGCCCAAGTCAAAATTGTTCGGTATTCATCAGGGAACACAAAAACACTTTCAAACGTTTGTTCCCAGAGATTGGTCACGGGACCTACAGGCTGGTCTCCTACTAATACTCCGGTGGAAAAGTCCCAGTTAGTCTTTGGAAAAAAAGTGATTTGCCGATATTTTTTAAAGTCTACCTTTCACCTACTATTTTTTAATCTATTTACTTTACTGTGCATAATAGTCTACATTATTTTGTAGTGTTTGCAGCTCAGAGTTTCATGCAATACAACTGGCCTTCTGTTGTGAAAATGTTTCTTATTTTGTGGGAAGGAAGTCACAGACTTGAATATTTTGACTTGTCTATGAAATTAAATATTTGAAGTGTTTGGCGACTTTGAGGTATATATTTGAAGCCCCAAGTGAAAAAACTATATGCCTGCGACCCACCAATACTTCATGATTCTTATAAAATTACATGCACACATAATTTCTACTCCTTACTTTGAAATATCCATTGATGTAAAAACGAATGAGAAATAAGAACAGGTATGATTTCAAACTCATAGCCTCTTAATCATATTAAAGCACACGAACTCTTAAGATATTTCAGTAAACGACTTATACAATAGTAGAACGATTTAAGGGTCGGGTGACATCCAAATATAAGTTGTTCCTGATGATGTGCAGTGCTGCATACATCTCATATTTTGTTATTCAAAATCTAAATATATTTCATACATTTCTAAATATTATCAGAAATGATTTTCTCAGACCTGCTAGGCTCTACCCTAAAAAATGCTCCAGATCTCATTCATCTTTTGACATCGTCTGTCAATCATTAGTGAGCTAACAAGAGACAGTGGTACGATGTATGTAGCTTGATCAGAGCTGACCACCTTATTTACATCAGACCATACTATACCAACATATGAGTTGCTATGTCAGACGTGCTGTAGCATCACCAGGAAAAGAAGGGTAATGTGGAGGTATTGCATGAAAGAATGCAATTAGTGTGAGCATGTGTTGATCAGGAGGAAGGAATACATACCACTATCTCTTGTTAAGTCACTAATGATTGACAGATGATGTCACAAGAAGAATGAGATCTGGAGCAGTTTTTTTTAGGGTGGAGGTTAGGAGGTCTGCGAAAATCAATTTGAATAATATGTAGAAATCTATGAAATAAATTTGGATTTTGAATAACAAAAATGAGATGTATGCAGCCCTGCGCATCAACAGGAATCAACTTAACCCGACCTTTAAAACAGTAAGAATATTGCTCAATCGACGAGGCAACTTGGCAGGCAGAAACGCCTTCGAATTACTAGTTGGAGAATACGAGCCAGTGGACTTCTTTTATAGAAAATCTTATGGAATTATTACCGAACAGTGCTGGACATTACCACACAATATTATTTCCGGTTTTCCAAGATTGTGTTTCATTCACTCTTACGACTTCTTTTTCAAACTCAGTTCTAAACATGGATGTATGAATACATTGCGAAATACATCAGTCCTTCCACATTATCAGTTTTCATAAAAACTCGCTTATTCGTCACCGTGACTGTCTGGGATTGCTTGATAGTCTTGTTTAGCCCAATGTTGAAGCTCGACTGTGCCGAAGATGATAAAGGTCAAACCCCCGAATCCGTAGAAACCTGCTACTATCCACATCACCTTCTGCCAACCTGTAATATTGGACTGGGTATTTAGTTTGCAAGAGAGATAGAGAGAGGGAGAGAGAGAGAGAGGGAGAGAGAGAGAGAGAGAGAGAGAGCGGGAGAGAGAGACAAAAAGACAAACCATCTATATTCTATGGAAATAACATTGATATCACGTGGGGGGGGGGGGGCAACTGCCAATGCCCACTTTTCCTGAAACATCCTAGAGTACAGAAAAAGTACTTATCAAAATCAAAATCCTTTGAACTTTCTGCACTACTAAAATGTCCAATCACCTTTTTTTCAGTTAATATACCGAGATACTGGACAAAATTACATTTTTGGCCAAAATTTTCCTTTCTCACACTATAACTCTATGAAATTGATATCAATTTAAGTTATTTTTATTATCCTTCTTTTGAAATCCAATCCATGGTGATTAGAGGTTTCACTTAAAAGTTATCTTTAAAACTCGATGTATTAAAACACACCAAACAGGTCTCTAATGCACTAATACACGTATATGCATATATGCATTATATGTTGTTTTTGTGGAAATCAAATTTGGGTTGCTATAACTTTTTATTAAAAAGAGATATAAACCTCTCCTTTACACAGGATATTTTCCCTGTACATGGACAAGTTTCTTGAAAATTACGAAAAAATGCCCTTCTCCGATTTTGATACATAGAAATTTATGGTTTTTGATCAAATTCAATATTTCGAAAAAAAATTACAAAACCTTTTTTTGTTTAAACCGAAACCCCAAATTCGTTAAAATGTATCGAAATGTGGAAAATTTAATTTTCTTTTATATAACACCAAACTCCTGGTGGTTTAAGGTCTCCTTGAAAAATTATTTACAAAATACCCTTTATCTTCAAAAGGGCCGCTTTTTTGACGCCCCCTCCTATTTAGGGGTGTTCGCTACGAATACAAAAAGAAAAAAACCTCTGAAATATTGTGTATGATGATAAAACCTTTCGAATAAACAAGGTGTGCTTAGTTTATGCGGTAGTGGCAGGCAAACCTCTCTTTTCTGACTTTGGCCCTCCGTGTTATACGCTCAATTCAGATTAAAGTGAATAAAAACTAAGGTGAGTCAAGACTTATAATTGCTTACCATTTTTCCACCTTCTTTCATTCTGTTAGCTATATATAGCTGAGAGATTGTGCACAACCGACATAAGCAATCATCTCGTGATTGTTTGTAATTTTAACCAAACCTGTATTTCAGTCAAGACGCCGACGATGTAGGGCCCGATAATGCCGCCTAGGGTACCGGCCGTGTTCATCATTCCCATAGCCGAACCAGCAAAGGGACCAGCGATGTCCAGTAAGGCCACGAAGTGACCGGAGAAAGAGATGCCGACCCCACCCATGGCTAGAGTCAAGAACGTCACGGACAGAGCAGTGTTGCACCGTGAAAAACCGGTGAGGATAAGAAAGAACGCCCCCGATCCAAAACCTGCACGGAAAAACAAGATACAAGTGAAGTAAACAATAAGAAGCAAACAAACTACACAATATAAGAAACTATAAACAAAAATCAAAAAATGTGAACTGATGAGAATTCGTGGTAAGTATTTATTTAAGATTATCTGAATCTCTAGCGATGTACCGATTAATTTTCTCTTACATTTATTCACTGACTTATATCCAAAGCCCCCCTTTTTAATGCCGAGAAAAAAGAAGTTGTATTGAGTCTATAGTACGCTGGGGTTCGCACCCAAATCCGATGTAACCCCCTGATTTTCAACTTCTGGGCATGCCAATGACGCTCTCTATTGAAATACTGCCATTATCAGTTGACCGACAAGACCGACAAGACTGACGGCCCTAGAGACCGACGACTGAAAATATTCCCGGGTTAACCAACTAACAATAATGTAAGAAGGCGCGCAAAACAGATGTCGATCTCGTGAGACGTCGTCCTTCCAAGCCGTCTGCTACCCGGGCTCTAACCTACTACTATTTACTAAGCGGCCCACAGACAGCTTCATCATCAATTTAAAAGCTCGTAGGTTGCACACGAGGCGTTATTGCGATTGCGTCACTGCCCACGCCTATCATGTCTGTAAAAGATTTTCGCTAGTATTTTAGAAACTGAATTGACTCTTTCCACATAATTTTGCATTATTTTTTGTCTACGATGTTACTATCTCGTGGTGCATCAAAGAGCACGCTAGTTTCTCACGTAGCCCATATACAATGGGCGTGAGGGAAAATGACACAAAAAATATCGATTGCACAAAGCGAGACGTCATTCGCCTCATGAAGAACGGCGAAGAAAGACGCGGCCTCTAATTTACAGGTTCGTTTAGCGCAGGTGAGAGGGCGCTTAATATGGCGGATCGCATGCAACGAGCTTTAGGAGAAATAATTGCGTTACCTATTGCTGCCATAAGTTTTCTGGTTGCTACTTTACTGAGTATCCTCCGGGCGAAGAGAGCATCTGAGATGTAACTGAAGACAAGCATTACAACGAATTGCAGGGCGTAGGGTAAAGCCGAATATATGCCAGCCTATCAAATGACAGAAACAAAAAAAGTATTGAAATGATTTTAAAAATATGTCTCGTGAGATCATTTCTGCGATGCCCTAATTGCTAATATGTGTAAATCTTGCCAAAAACTGTCCATAGATCGGGATTAAAATTTGTTTTTGGATGACTAACAAAAGAACGATTTGTACCAACAAATTTGTACCGCGGATGAGCTTATGGAACTTCATGGCAAAAGTTAGCCAGAAGATGCCGTCACGGGGATCGCCTTGTCATGAATTATCATGCAATTGGTAAGCACAATTATGATTATTCCCCCTCTCGACCTGTCTCTGCTCATATTGTTCAGCACGCCTCGATCTGCCCACAGGAAAATATTTCTTGGATTGGATATATAACTCTTTTCTAACTATAATCAACCATCCTGAATAAGGTTTTTAGCACTATAAACTTACGAGTTCTATGGGAACATTAAGTGCTTCGCTGTAGTAGAGCGGTAGGTTGACGAGGAGGGTGAACATGCCTAGCGTGTGTGGAAAATGAGTGAAAACTTGGCACCACATGGCTGGGGAACTGAGGATACTTCTCCATGGTATGGATGGTCTCAGAGTCTGTGGAAATAGAAAAGAAAACGATCTACTATAGATGATGTTGCGATGTGTTGTGGTCTAGTGGATTCGTCTACAAAATGTGAACCACAAGGTGCAGGGTTCGAATCCCTGCCGCAGGTTTTATCAGCTGATAACGGAAACAAAACGGTATGCCATAGTTAAATGTTCCCATTACTACCCATATTCTATAAATTCCTGGCATGTTATTTGCTATTTTCTTTGTATATATGGTGCAATTGCGAACAATAGTCAGTTCAGGTATTAAGAGATAATTGTTGACAGCTGGTCACACCAGCAGTTCCTGTAACGAGACTCCAAAATAGGTCCAGCAAATAGGTTTGCTATTGCTCAGATGTTTATATATCACTAATCTTGTACCCTCCCCCCCCAAAAAAAAAAAAAAAAAAATCTAACACATGAAACAACATAAAAACTCACAAGTTGATAGTATTGACGTTTACAATTATCTGGGAGAAAGGTGACGTTGCATGACACATAAGGAAGAAAATATGTGCATGATTCAGACAAAGTTTAGTTTTTGAACTGGTCTCCATCCTTAATTCATACGCTTTACTTTCTATGCCCTTGCATTAGGTGTATATCACGTTAGAGTACAACTTACGTTGGAATGTTTTAGGCCCTCTTCCAGATATTCACGCTCTTCTTTAGATATCCATGGGTGTTCACGTGGTGAACTGTAGGCAACAAAGCTCCACAAGATGAACCAAAGACAGCCTACCGTACCTGCAAAATATGATCGACAGTTCATTTGTTCATCATTAGTGTATGTACATGTATTTGCTCGGAATACGGTCTGCAAGACTGAAGGTTCATCAAACTAAAGGTTTATTTCATCTTTTAAATCTTTGGCTCGGTCATTTAAGATGTACCCGCACAACTAGCAGATCCGAAATCCATTTTTGGCAGACCCATTTTGAGTAATAATTTGAAAAGAAAATAATACCGTTCATTTAATACCGTACAAGCCGGCCTCCCTATGCAATCTTCCACTTTCAGAGAATTGAGATAAATATTATGATAAGGCCGACATTTATAATTCCCATGCAGTATTTTAGTTTTGCATGGATCCTTCAAATTGTATATTGGAAAAAGAAGAAAAAGACAGGGAGGAGGGTGAAACAGGAGAGAAAATGCAGAAGGTGTAAGTAGCAATTATCACTAACCAAATACGTAGAATGGAAGAGGCCACCCGCCTATCACATCTAGATTAATGAGATATCCTGTCAATGCATTACCCAACACATTTCCACTGTTGAATCCTGAAATCGGAAAGCAAAATGTAGATATTAACACATAGAAGAGTGCGGAATTCCACTTAAATCAAATAGAGCCAGTCACTTCCATAATCCGAAGGCCTACAGATGAGGAATTTTAAGTCTTGAAAGTTTTTCCGACAAGAGCTTGGTCCATGATGCATGAACAAGTTCGCCTGGTACGTAACATTATCAAGAGAATAGATCCGCCCATGTCACGTTAAAAGGCTTTTATAATGCCACGAATTTCGTCATTAATATATCTCATTTACATTTTCGTCAGGAATATTGTAAATCCATAGGCAGAAATAAATCTCATTTTCAGCATATCTGCACTTATTATTTAGTGTGAGGTTTCTTTTAACATTTCCATTCTTCCCCTATCCCTCAAGCCCTTCCAGATTTCTTGACTAGACTACGCTATACTGGCTGTTCTCTTGAAGAGAAAAGTAGATGGCAAAAGTAGGGGAACTTGAGAAAGACAAAATAAAACACATAAAAAAGGGGAACTTAAGAAAGAAAAAGGAGTGGATGAAGAAGATGATGATAGTGATTATGATGACATATGTATTGATGATTATGATGAAGAAGAAGGAAAAATGAAGACGAGAATAATGGTTTGAAAGCTGTCATCAAACCTCTTAGGTTGCAAGAAAGGGAAAATAATATATCATTTTACCTACGAAACCGATCACGCTTAGACTGCTCCTTTCCTCTGGATGTGCCCATTTAGACCACATGGCAAGCAAACTTGGGAAAGAGACGCCCTGAAAGAAAAATCATGATAGCCTATATAGACATATGAGGCATAACAAATGGTATATGGGGAGGGAGGGAGGGTCATACACAAGACTGAAGGCTTACAAGGCTAAAGACTGGCAAACACGACGACCACTTGAACTTTCAGGAATGTGGAAATGTTCAGGAGAATGATTTTTTCACCCGACCTAAACTTTTGGTTGGCCGAACCTTGTGGAATGTATGTGGAACGTTCAAGGGACATGACAAACCAAACAAGTTTTTACTAAACTGAAGGGTTACCATCAGACACAACTGTTTTTTCTCGAATGTCCTGCTCTGTTTTTAATTGGGCTGTGTCTACAGCATTTGATTCAATCATAGACTTACCACATGGTGCTATTCAGTTTCGGTAGGTCCTCATGGGCTTTTCTGTATTAATAATTTACTAAGGTTTCTAGACTGTTACACCATTTCGGTTTAATATCATACTTAGGCTATTTGAAATGACGGGGAAGCTCAATCTTGTCTGTCTTTCCTTACCTCACCCAGTCCACTGAAGAACCTAGTTACAAAGTACCACTCTGTTCCAGCATAAGCAGCTACTGGCCCCAGGAGAGTGCATACACTTGACAGCAGAAATCCAAACCCGAGGACCCATTTCATACCAAACTTGTCAGAAAGCCAGCCGCCGGGGATTTGCGTGAAGATGTAGCCGTAAAAGAAACCCGCGAGGAGTAGTTCTTGTGTTTGTGTATCCCACAGAAACTCGCCAGAACTCTACAAAATGTTACCGACAGATACAACAACAAATAGCTGTAGTAACACTAAATTTTCTCCAAAAAAATTATGATATTGATTGTAAGTACTTAATTTGAATTTATCCTTCGTTAGAGTTGGTCTAATCGATTATAGTTATACTTCCCTGAAGGGCAGTCCAAGGAGACATATGGACCTGAATTATCGTACATACTCTCAGCGGTAATACTGTGTTTCCTTGATTATTTTTGGACATACATTTAAAATATTTGGTTCTTTGAAACACGTGAGTGTAAAGAAACTGACACTGAAATGAACAAAAGAAACGGACCCCGACATACTCGTTTCATTCCTTAAAAGTAAAGACCAGTTTTGGAAACACCCCCCTCTCAAAAATGAAATGGAAGCTCTTATTACCAATCATGTGAAAGAATATGTTTTGACTAAAATACGTGATGATACAAATTTTACCGGGAAACCGCCTACTAATTCATATATTGGGTAAATTATTATATCTATCCGGACCGGATAGATATCACGCACGTGTCGCATAGTCCCATATACATCTCTCTGTATACAGTGCTTGTAACTTTACCAAGATTGGGCCAATTTTCTTATTATTTTGATGATTCCAGAACCTTGCAGTACACCAATACTTATATGGTAGATGATCAACCTTTTATGATCGATTCCACAACGTTTCTTTCACAATGCAATCGCATGACCAGAACTGGTCTTCACCTTTAAGTTTCTATCTCTCTGTGGATGTGTTCAGAGAGTTTAATTAAATATTTACCAAGACAATTAAAAAGCACTTCAAGAATGTAAACTGTGATGATGGCGCCTCATTCGTATTTTATCCACACGTCTACACAATGCCCTTCACCATGTTCACTTCGGATATACGTCGTATTAAATTATGAAATGATATCAATTAATCTTCGGGATTACCGTCTGTTCAGTTGTCGAGTTCACCGCCAGAGATTCTGAGCAAGTCTCCACGCCTTCCAAACTTTCGTTCCCGAGTGGCTCGTCATATGTGACGTAAGACCCGTTAACCATTGCCACCATGGCAACGCTCACATTTTGCCGCATCGCGCAGACGGCCGTCATCCCAAGGAAAATCAGTATGGCCATCTGATGGCGAACTTGGATGAACCCAGGTACTTGTAAAATTAAATAAGACGCAGATATGAACATGCATGGATAACGAATGTAATAGACTTCGTCTTCTTCTTCTCCTCCACCTCCTGCTCAACCAATATCATTACCGTTCCATCTCCCTGATCCGTCATGTGTAAGTTTAAATCATCATACATCAATTTATCCAGAAGTGAGATCTTTTTGTTGTATACAATGATATAGGATATGTCATAGAGTACAAAGAAAAAGAACAGAAAACATATATACAGCACGCATACATCAAAATTGTAAATTTGATCACAGCATGTATGGTAATGATGAATTAATACTGTACTCACTATTCTCCTTTGAAGGTCCTAGTAGTGTTTTTCTGTCCTGTTCACTAGCTTCAAGCGGTAATGAACCATAGTCCGTCTTCTTTGAGCCATCCTTTTTGGTAGCCATCGTTTCTGATATCGATGGATATCTAGACGGAATGGACATTGATGTCGACGTTGACAGTGATTCATCAGTTGTCTGCTCTCCGTGGCCCTTGGTCATACTTGTTATATTGATATTTTTTATACTGAAAAAATGGGATATTTAATTGGGCTTGGAAATTTAAAGTAGATATTCATTGATTTTAAAAACTAACTTTATTTTCATTATTGCAAAGTTAAAACTTTGATTTGGCAAGGTTATCAAAATTCAATGCTTGGAAACATTTGAAGTAATGATTATTATACATTACAAAACGCTTAAATACAGCCCCGGAATAGCACCTGAAGAGCTCTACGAACGCTGCTGAGATGTGTGAGATCACAGTATGGACATGATTTGCACAAGCAGACGATGTCCCATGACATCTCACACATTTTCAGAGCCTGTGTTTTCATCTTCTCTTGAGTTCTTTCTCTCACTTCACTACCGTCAGGCTAAATGTATAATCTATTGCCTCACTCTAAACCCCGCGCATGGTTTTATTTTGATGACAAATGCAGCGATACAAAAATAAAGGAATCTGTCGCTTGTAAACAAAATAAGACGCCATTGTATAGTCAGATGCACACACCGGGTATGTTTAGTCTGCAAGCACAAACCCTGGTCAGTCGTAAAAGTGAGTCTGCACTGTAAGACTACCATAGGCCATGTAGTGTATATTGATACAACCAGTAGGTAGCTGGGCTAGACTTCTCTCAAGGCACAATGATTTTTTGATTAAGTGTCAAATTAGGGTCTGTGCTTGCAGACTAGGGTATGTTCGGCGTTTAAAGAGGGAACAAATGCCGTCCTTAATATCATTCCGGGGGCTTTTCAATTTGAAAGTCTGGTTTCTTTGATAAATAATTAACCCCTATCCTGTGTATTTACAAGCAAACGATTTCAGTTATCAGAATCGGGTCATACCCCCTTTGGAATGGTTTGACATGCCATTACTTTTATATACACTAAACCCATTATAATTTGACAAATAATAGCTTTGCAATTATGTTCATTCTTTATGGGATGTCGTCTGCTTGGGCAATATTGGTCCATATAGTGACGTCATTAAAACATCGTTATTTTTCCGGCTAATCTCTCGTATATCCCAGCTGCTATGGAGGTGGTTGTATTTGTATTTTTTTTTTTATAAATAACCCGATATGTAGTTGACCTAAAACTTGTACGATGGCCATCTGTTAGCTTAGCAGTTTCTAGTGATACATTAGTTCACATATTTTCTTTGAATTTCACCTTTAAGTGATGCAATTGATCAGAAGGCAACGAATCATATTGAATTGTATTTTCAACAGCATATAGAAAATTTAATCTTATACTTGTAGTGCGGGAAGATGCATGTCGGACCAATTTAAAAAAAAAAAAAAAAAAAAACATATCTCATTATCTGCTGATAGTGTGAGAAAAATCGGTGACGTATACTGTTGGGGGTACTGGTGCCATGGGGCTGGGGGACCCGGTCTTAGTAGGGTAAGGTAAGGGTTTGGAAACGGATGCAAAGGGTGCAACTATCTCCTTTATTTTTGCACCCCATTTTTCTTCTTTTCCCCCTTTTCTCTCTCTTTCGATGGAAGGGGGGGGGGGTGGACAGATGTCCACCCTTTTTCTGTATCTGCGCCACTGCGGCGAATCATAGACGAAGTACGGTCACGTTAGTATCAAATGTTAATGCAAGGTTTTCTATTGTTTGAAATAAGTTATCTTAGTGACCAAGGTCACAGTAGGTCATATAAGCTGATTAATTTCAGACCAAGACCTTTATTAGACGTTAGACTAAGGCAGAAAACAAACAAACCAAAGTATATGAAATACACCATTTGCTCTACGTTAAGCAGAACTACGAAGGTAATTTGTAAAGCTTTTGCGGAAAATTCTTCATAATGACACACACCTATCTTTTAATTTCTTAAGTCTTAATTTGCATTTTAAAGTAACTTCAACTGTGGAAGAGCACTACCGTCATATCATGGGATTTATGTATATTATACAAAATCCAGTTTCCTGTTAAAAGAACAATGTAAACGAATGAGACAAAAATAACTTACCACTTGCAGCTTCCTAATTTTCCTTGTAATAAACGTATGTTATGTTTTTAATAACCGGCCGTTCAATATTTCACAAACACATGGGGCAATGTACACGTTTACCGTTCGTGGTTTTATGCTTCTAGATCAAACGAGGTCCATAGTGCATTGGTCGTAACAGTCTGGCATATTTGAAGTTGTGCAAAGTGGACAATCATTTTTAAAATCCTAGATATCGATGTTAAAGAGACTGTCATAGGTCATAAAGTTTCCTCTGATCTTAGCAACAATGTAATGATGACACATGTGTGCGTGGTGTGTGTGTGTGTGTGTGTGCCCGTACGTGGAGAGGTTGATGTGCCAGCGTGTTTATGTTATGACAAATAGAGTCAGCGCACTAAAATTTTGGACCTGGGGGTGCCTAGGGGCAGGGTTACTCCCAAGACTGAATTTTCAACCAAGCAAGCAAATGAGAAGAAAAAAAGCAAATTACTACTTCGCTTAGTTGAAATATTGTCGAAATAAAATTGCCCCTCCGCGAAATGAAAGTTTTTTGTTAACGTGAAAATTAATGCAAGTGCTGGTGTTGCGCTCAACCAGGGTGCACTTATTTCTCCGTATGGAAGGGTGTTTATATTCAACGCACGGCTTATAGCTTTTAAGTGCATTATGATCTGTTCGTGTTTATGCCAAGTCACATTTGATGCTGAAATGAAGGTGAATGAATTTATTTGGGTGAGGGCATTCTGTACATCTCGCGGGCTCCAAATCCGATATCGAACCACAACGCACCACAGTTGGAAAAGTGTGATAAAATGGATCCAAACCTTCGTATCTGATCATTGAAAATATGCTTATAATTTATAAATGGACAATAAACTTAGTATACAGATGATGTATAATTAGGTCAATGAAGTGAATTGAATAGCCCATCTAATTTGATTTTTTTTCCCATCTCAATGTTTTCACTCATTCCAGGTACGAGGAAAGTATTTTCTTACATGGATGAGTGAAAGCTGTGAATTCGGATGTTTTGCCAAGGGTTGGTTAAAGCTATGTTGCTTGCAGGAACACCGCCAAACTGACATCAAACGTGTTTTCATCGATACAAATCCGACCTATTTTGAGCCAATCAGTGTATAGTAATATTTTTTGTATTAAATAACACTATCCATCCTTTCCCTATAATCGGCATTCATTAAACTTATTTGTGATAAATCATAAATTATTTATCCTCCCTAAATCAATAAGATATCATGGTCCAGATTTATTGAATGCACCCCCAGACTCGACAAAATCATGTAAAACCCTAAATTCATTTGAATTTCATACGGAGAAAGTATTTCTATCAGAGTACACTATTTGATTTTTTCCCAGTGCTGAAATAATCTTCAATATTATCTTCAGATTCACAGAAAACATCCAGCACTATATTTAATAACTCCCGTATACTTATACATGTATGAGTTTTGTGTGTCAGACATATTTACATCAGCATATTTTCATTTTCATTTTCATTTTCACCATCATCATTATCATCAACATTATCACCATCATCACCATTATCAACACCATCACCATTTGTTTGGTTATCATCACACCCACTACCCCCCCCCCCCCATCTTCCCTTTCCACCGGGCTATCACGCTATCAAGCAAGTTCAAGTTCAAGTTCAAGTTCAGCATTTATTTAATTCCATAGTAAAAAAAAACAGTGACATCAAAATATTACTTTTACATAAATATGATTAACATAGTACAATATTGACAGTAAAAACAAACAAATAGGAATTAGGTTGCTGTATGAAAACCCTAGAGGGTTTGTCTGGACAGCCACCAGAAAAAAAAAACAGTATAGGAATCATACAAATGATATATGGTATTTGAATAAACAATAACAAAAAACAACAAAACAAAACAAATCAAAGTAGAACATAAGCAAAAACAAAAACATACATGTAGACCGCACAACCCTAAACAAATTTGCACTGTGGAATCGCTTATTGTAATAGCCCCTCTTCTTCTGTAACTTTCTTAATGAATAATTATTGGTATTGTGTTATCAGTTATCAATTTTGTTTTAATGTCATCATTTATTTTTTATTTATCGTGTACACATTCAAATATATTATTATATTTTCTATATGTTGTATTGCTGAAACGCAATTATTTGATTTGTATGTTGCGGAAGAAAATAATAGTAATTCAATATTGTTTTGTCTGTTGTCAGTCTCGTGATGGCCAAGTTGATATTATTTTGGGTATATTTATTGCACTGCCATGAGTAGTTGATATCATTACAATTTATTTCTGTTCTTCAATCTGTCTCATTTTATTCCCATAGAAATCCAAATTCCCTAGTCGATGTTGTAATTATACAAATTAGAGCACGGAACTGACAGAAGTACGTGTGGCCCTTACTCTGGTGGAAAAGTCCCAATTAGTCTTTGGAAAAAAAGGGATTTGCCGATATTTTTTTCGACTATGTTTTAAAGGTAAAGACCAGTTATGGTCATGCGATTGCATTGTGAAAGAAACGTTGTGGAATCGATCAGAAAAGGTTGATCATCTAGCATCTAGCATCTGCAAGGTTCTGGAATCATCAAAATGATAAGAAATTTGGCCCATTCTTCGTAAAGTTACAAGCACTATACACAGAAAGATGTATATGGGACTACCCTATATCTCTCACAGACCATGAGAGAAACAAATTTACCAAATATATGAATTAGTAGGCGGTTTCCCGGCAAATTTTTTATCATCATGTATTAGTCAAAACATATTCTTTCACATGATTGGTAATGAGAGCTTCCATTTCATTTTTTGAAATTGGGGCGTTTCCAAAACTGGTCTTTACCTTTAATCTATATACTTTACTGTGCATAATAGTCTACATTTGCAGTGTTTGCAGCGCAGAGTTTCATGTAATAACTGGCCTACTATTGTGAAAATGTTTCTTATATTGTGGGGAGGAAGTCACAGACTTGAATATTTTGACTTGTCTATGAAATTACATATTTGAAGTGTTTGGCGACTATGA